TTGTTTACTATTATTGCTTGCTTATTCTGGGGTTTAGCATGATACCAAAATGTACAGAACTTGCTTGTGTTTTCTCCTTTTTGATGACTGTCACTAACTTTGCTTCACAATTTCCTCTTTACAAGAAGGTGTTAGAAAAATAAAACTGATTCAGAGTTGCGTAGTTGTAGTCAGATTTTTCTGTATTCATTTTAGGGTTAATTTTTTTGTGTAATTGAAATTTGAAATCAGTTGTCCTTTCTTTTTTGGTAGTTTGATAAATGCATTTTTTTATACTATCTGGAAATCCAAATGCCCTCCAGTGTTATGCCTCAGTAGCAGTGTTTGCTGTAGCCAGATAGCACTTTTAAACAACAGTGCTACATGCAGTCATATTTCTTATACCATGAAGTATCCGTTGTTTTAGATGAGGTTAGTTCTTCATCACTTCTTAAAAGGATGGATTTAAGGTTCTTAGGGTCCATTCAGTTCTGAGCTAAAGTCTATGTAAGGTATTTTTCTGTAGGTTTTTTTGAATGGGTTATTTTATTTGATCTATTTTGCCCACTCGTTCTGATTATTACCTTGTTATTTCAATATTGCTAATAACTGACTGTGAATACAATGCCAAATTCTAATCACATCTGTACTAAACTCATACCTACTATATTGAAAAATCCATTTATTCTGGATAGTCTGACCGATAATTTTTATATTAACTTTTATGGTTGTTGCCTCTGAGGGGTGTGTGATTGCACATATGCTATTTATTCTAGGCACGTAAATATACCGTATCTCTGGCAGCAGTGAAATTTACTGTGGGTTCATTCAGTCACATAAACATGCAAAGGAATAGTTCAGTGGTTACAGACAAGAAGCTGATGAGTTGGGAATGTTAGGCCAGTCGCTTGCCTCCAAATATTGTCCTTTTGTATTTGCATATAAAATATATTTATATTGTGCATGTCAAGGCTTAAATTCCTCTGTCTGCCTTTACAGCATAACATAAGTTTAGTTTATTTCTGGTGGCTGGCCCTTCACCATCTTCTGTGTGTGTATACTTGTGTGTGTATGCACATGTGTAAAAAGATTCCCATCATTGCTTTAATGCTTGTAGTTTGGTCTTGCTGCTGTTCGAGCTGAAGACCTATGTGTTTGTGGCTGCTGTCATTTGTTTAAGGGCCATCAGATTTATTCTCTGACGTGTTTTTAAATGGTGTTTTAGGTGTTTTTTTAGACCTGAAGAGTGAGTTATTTCCAAAGTCCTTTGAGATACACAAATGCACAATCCAACCAGTTGCACAGATTGCAGAGAAAGTATTATGAAAGAAACAAGGCTTTTTTGTTCAGCTAAACTATCATGACTTACAAAGTGTGGATATAAATTCAACATTATTCTTACTAGGCATTTGGTAGATATATCAGTGGTGTCCTGTAAATTACTAAGTTAAATGGAGTTTCTCATTTTACATATGAGTTTCACAGTATCAGTAGTATTGCTCAGGCAAGGTATTTCAGAAGGCTTTATTCATTGTTCACACCAAGAAGCCATTGGCCTTATGCTTTAAACTACCTGAGGCATGCTATTTCGAAGTGTGCTGTCTTTTATTGCTTAAGTGAGTGAAACATTTTGCGTTATTAAATATTTCACAAAGAACTGTCTGTTGGTGATCTCAAATGCTTGCTATCATTACCAGTAGCACAAAAACATGTTCACTACATGTAATGAACAGGGGTTGTGTGTAGGATTCCATGCTTTCCTGGAAAACAACCTACTTTTAATAACATGTTCTTGTTTTATTCCATCTTAGGAAATGATAATTTCTGGGCTTCAGCCTGAAACGACATACTCCTTCACTGTGACAGCCTATACAACAAAAGGTGATGGAGCACGCAGCAAGCCCAAACTCATATCTACTACTGGTGCAGGTAATACTCACATATCCGTTAATCTATGAATAAATCCTCTGACTTTTTGTGGTAGTGTTTTTCTTCTACTATTTGGAAGTCTTCTGTTCAGTAAAAAGTGTTTGTAGGACATAGGGGGTTTTGTTTCAGTATTTGGCCCTTCATTTATTTAGATAAAAACAGAACCAGTGTCCCCCTTTGTCCCTTTCTCATAAAGATTTAACCAAAATGTAATACTTAACTTCATACTTTCTAGTAGCTCTTGTGTTATGATTGGTGTCTTCTTGGAGAAGAAAAAGTAGGAATTCAGAACTGAGAATGATATTTGAAAAATTAGTGAAGGGCTTTCCTGATCTTTGTGAGAACAGTAATTCTGCTGTTTTTAAAAAATTTCAATGGTTCACTCTGGCCAGCTTAACCAAATGGTGGTGCGGTGTTCACCTACGGGTGTTCATTGTCTGTAGGTGTTCATTTGCTGGGTTTTATAGTGTAGCCATTAAGGGTAGTCCATTACAATCACATGGAAATCTTTGTAGCACGATTACAAGCTCTCCTAATAACAGTATATTGTTTATGTTAATATACGTATAAAGTCTCAAAGGCATATGTATTCATAAACTAATTGACTCAATTTTTAGAACAATCCCTGAATGTAAAGCACATCTTGTACAAATATCAGAAACACCTTTATCTTTGACTCATCAGCTTCTTTGGAAGAATCTGTCTTGGTGGCTAGATACATCGTATGGTTTCATTTCAGGTTTTATAATACCTTTTATTCATTACTCTTGACTGATGCTGAATTTACCCTCCAACTTCTTATCTTTCCTGAATTCTTATGGCCTGGGGAAAAAGAAATAAAGAGTGATATATACTTCTCATTTATGTTTGAACTTAAGAAAAAAGGCGCTTGATCCATTACTCTTTTTAAAGTTCAGTTTCCAATTTAAGTAAACAACAATTATATAGATTATGATTTGATTAGTTTCTAGATATAAACATAAGTCATGCAAACCTGCTTGCAAAACTTGAGCTTCTGTGCATTTAGTTCTTAGTGAATATTCATGTTTCACTCTTCCAAGAGCTCTGATGCTTCTGCTGTAGAAAGATAAACAAATCCCTTAAAACCCTGACCGACTGAAGAGCCATTGAGAATCATAGGCATGCCTGTAAAATGTAATACATATTACACTGTTCTTGCTATTTGCTTAATCTGTACACAAATAATGTTTGTTGGTGGTCTCTAGGATAACAGCTAGTTACAATTTTGATCCTTTGTACATTCCAGGTTGTATGAACACCTCTTCACTTTCTGTTACAGCTTGCTGTGGTTTAGTTCTTTTTTGTAAGGAAGAGTCATATGCAGGTGTTTAAAAAAGGAGATAATAAATATAGTCAGTACCAAGAGTTGCCAGCTCACTGTCTTTCTGTGAGAATATGTTGGGCAGATGAAGGAATGATGCATAAATATCAGGGGCTTGTAGACCCTCCTATTCTCTGAGTTTCCATTTGTGGTATCTTGTGGCTTGGAGGTTTTTTTTTCCTTTTCTAAAAAGTTGCTATTCAAATACTACAATAAAGCAAATGAAGGGTCTGACTTTCTAGTCTAATTTTTAAAGGTTTAAGTTGGGTACAGCTGTATTAGAATGAGTGAGATTATATCCGTAAGAGATATCAAAAGAGAATAAAGGTCTAAATGTTTACTGGAGAAGCTTACTATTCAGAAGTTATTCAGATGATAAGTAACTATTCAGCTGTGTCCAGTTACTGATATAAAAGCATCATTTACATTTTTGGACAGGAAAGATTCACCAAATGTAAGTAAGCCTATAGTGTGGTAACTGTAGTTATTAGTGAAATAACTGAATACTGTTAATATTTTCACTCCAGAGTGTGGTTTTATCTTATATTCAGTTTCCTTTCCTACTTTGTGAAATCAGATGGAAGAAAAGTATTTGAAGATTTTGTGCCATTTGGGGCAGAAGTTGTTAACAAGACCCTGATATAAATGAAGACTTCCTTCTCAGTGATACCATAAAATTTTTATGGAGATTTTAATTATACCTAATTTCTGGGTCATAGTAATTGAAGAATCTCATACCACAACAGCTTGTCCATTATTTGAAATTTACCCCCTGTGCTAGGCAGCGCCCTTGAAATACAGATTTCAGCTGAGAAGAAAATTTGCATTAAGTCAGTGGTATACTGTAGGGCAGCTAACAGAAACAAATTACTTCAGGTAATTTGGAAAAGGCAGCTTGCATGAGCTTCTACTAGTAATGGCATGCAGTTATAGCTGTTTGAATTAATGACCGTTGCAAAGGATTGTGTGAGGGGCATCTTGTTGTGTACTAACAGAGGTGGATTTTGACAGATCAGAGAATATATTTTTTTTCATGGGCAGTTTCACTTCATTTAGGCTCATGGCCTTTATCATAAGAAGTTTCTAGGAAGTTTCTAATTTCATTATTCCATGGTGCTACTTTTTGTAGCAGAATCCTGCCTTTTGTCCCACAAGACTGTGATATTCACAAGTGATAATACTAAAAGAAAATGTAAACTGAAAGCTTTCTGGAAATAAAAAGAGAGAGAAAAACACATTTCTTTCTCCGTCAGTAGTTGCTTGTTAGCAAAAAGGAAATTCATACCCTTTGCAAAATTGGATAGGCTCCATACTAAAGCGAAAAGTTGTTTTTTGCCGTTTTAATGACAGGGTATTTCTTTGGATAAGTAAGCTTTATTAGTTCCCCTGTTCTGATCAAAAGCAAGTAGTAATTTCTTTCTTTCTAGTTACCATGAAGGTTAAAAAACAGTTCTGTGAGGTCTGCCACTAGGAAAAAAAGCAATTTATCACAAAAATAGAAGTTATTATTCTATTTGTATGGACTTATCTTCTTTTTTGTATGCTCCATTGGTTTCAGTCATAATACAGAGAAAAATATGGACTGCAAAAGGCCTTCACAGCCTTTTCTTTGCTCCATAAAGGCTTGTAATAATCAATGAGAAAAAGTCCAAACTAGTCCAAGAGATAGTCTTTACACAGCAGAAAGCGTAGGAAAACCGTACAAAATTCCTAGGAATCCTAAGAATAATACTTGCAGGTGAACCAGACATTTAAAATGAAGGTTATTTGGAAAATTTATATAAAAACTAGTATAATTCTTATGCTATTAGAAGCAACGACACAACTTATGACAGATATAATGAGGAAAGAGCTTATTAAATGAAGATTTTTTTTTCATGGCATGCCATTCCTCATTCCTTATTTCTAATTCATTATGGAATGGTAGTCAGAACTTCTGACTGATTTCCTGGGTGCCTGAGAACTGAAGATAAGTAATAAAATCCACTGAAGTGTTTAAATACCGGAGCCAGAGCTCACAGTGCATCAGTTACATTCACGTGGGAAGGCTTTGAATGTGGATGGAAATAATTAGTCTTTGTGGAAGACTGTGTTATCATGGCACTGTTACTCCCAAAACTATTCCAGTGTTCTTGACCTGTCAGGCATTGCTACACAATGAACACCAAATTTATAAATAGTTATGGATATGCTTCATTATCAAATAACTAATTGTAATAGAAACAGACTTTTTTGAAATAGAAATATTAATGAAAATATAGATGAAGTATCTATACGTATATAAATGAATATGAATAAATTAATAAATAAATATTTAAATTAAGTAGAAACAGTAAATGGAGTAAATGCATCCAAAAATGTACACGCTGTAAGTTGTATAATGGTATTTCCCCCTTGATTAGAGCTGTTTTGATTCTCTAGACTGAATGTCCTCACCACATTTGCAGTCTGAACTTCTCTGGAAGACAAATCATCAGTTTGAACCAGTAGGTCTCAATTAAGGATTTTAGTTTATCTATCTGGCATGGAGGTTATGAAGAGATGCCAATTTAGTATTCTTCGAAAGAAATTCAGTTCACATGCATCAGGATTTTGCAGGAAACTAAATCACATGTGATAAGCCAAGACAATCAAGAAATTAAATTCCAAACTGTACTACCATTACAAGCTGAAGCAGCCCATGCTGGAGGTGATTTGTGTACAGAAAGTTTAATGATAGGTTTCTGTAATGCATAGTAGTGATTGTTGATGACTAGTTTGGTCTGACTTCCCTTCTATGTTAGTTATGTTTTCAGTACTCCCACTAAATCTGGCATAATTTACAATCCTCCCGGTCACTTTTTTACCTGTGTAAGTTAATGTAGTAAGTATTTTA